ACAAAGATTGGGCAGGGGCGGCCCTGTAGTTAGATCTTTTGGGCTTGGTCATTTTAAAAGTAGCTTCCAAGCTGAAAAAGTGTGGGCACCCCTGCTCTAGGGGGTCCTCACCTCCTCTAGGGGGGTTCGGGGGCATGCTCCCCCGGGAAGATTTTTTTTTAAATATTGAAGTTAAAAGCATCAATGTGGTGCACTTTGAGAGAAAAATTAAGAGATCTATGGATACACCTCAACACCCAACTGTAAACAGATTTACTATTTATTTATGGATATTTTACAAGTCACTCCCCTTTTAAGACCAAAATGTCTACATGCATAGCAGAAGATGGCATCTTTTTTACAGGAATATTCCAGCCAATCTCTGTTTTGAAACCATGAGCTGCAAAATGAGCGCCTTACCCCACTGTACAGGCGAGTTGGGTACTTTTTTTAATATACCTGGGCAGGCTCTATTTTGCCGAGGTCCTCTGGCACTTTCGGGCCGCCGAGGGGTGGCGGTGTTTGGGGCAACGAAGACGGCTGCGGCTGCTCCGCCTCCGCCTCCGTGGGCGAGGCGGGCAAAGCCGGAGAGTCGGGCGGGAGGACGTTAGTGTCCACGACAGTGGCCGCGGGTAACATAATGTCCCCATGATCTGAACTGTTATTACCTGCAGTAGATGCAGTGTTACTGCTGGCGATAAGGGCTGGTTGTTTTAACCATTTTCTGATGTCGATCATTGACTGCTGTGTAAGCACCTTGCAAATGATGAACGCGCAGCGGCACATGTCACGCGCACCTGACATAATAACTTACCGTTTAAATTGACCAAATAAATGCAGCAGACAATGTTATTCAACCACAATTACAATTTATTTTATTTAAACTATATTTTTCTTCTTCTTCTTCTTCTTCTTATTACTACTATTATTATTATTGTTATTATTTTTAATATTTTTAACTTTTAATGCATTTTTCACTTTTTTTTTTTTTTCCACTTTTAATTCAAATGAGGGTGCATGACGACTCAACTGAGGGTGTAATGCACCCTTATGCTGTCTGTAGCTAACACTGGTAACTCACCAAGACAGCTGCTCTGTTCTCCACTGGTTCTCCTCACACCAAAGCTCCATTTCTCACCGATGGCCGTTATTTCTTCTAATCCTTGGCTGCTCCTGGTCTCTTGGACGCCTAGCAGGCTCATAATTATAATCATATGCATTCGAATATATATTTTCAACCTCTTCTGTGCAGTGGCGACAGCCCCACCTAGTGTCAGCAGAAAGTATTACAATAATGATTACAACAATCACCAACTACATTTGTCCAAGGGCCAAAATGTATCCAATAGACACTATCGCGGGCCGGGGGGGGTGGGTACAGGTACTGCATAAAGCTTAGCAGACTCTTCACGCTAACGAAGGATCACTTCTAGGCAGGTTTGGGAGGGTTACTTTGTAAATGTAATCAGTTACTGATTACTGAATACATGCTCTGAAAGTAATCAGAATACAGTTAGTTACGTGTCTTAAAAAAGTAACGTGTTACTTTTAGAATACTTTTGGAATACTTTCTTTTTCCATAACAGATGGGTATGTTTTGGTGAGCAGGAGACACTTGTTTTACTGTTTTAATGGCTTATCAAGAACTCAAACACAACATCTTGGTGTCATTCTGGACAGCTCCCTCTCATCTGCACCACACATAAAAAATATCACCCTTTGTACTGTCTTAAAACCTTTCCTTAGAATATGTTATGAATTGTAAGGTGTCCTTGGGTGCTTTGAAAGGCGCCCCTAAATAGAATGAATTATCATTATTATTTATTATTATTATCTGAAACGATGTAATAACTTTTAAAACTTGTTCCAGTCACTTGCCCCATGCATTCAGCAGCAGCAGGCCATTCACTTTGATTTGATCCCGTTATAAATGTCATCATTTCGACAATAAAGAAATGCTACATCAACGTTATCTTGCATATTTTATCTAACCATCTCTGTTTCTAACTTTCAATATATTTTAAAATAGATCTCTCTCTCTAATCTGCGTGCGGGGGCGGGGCCTCACAGACACGCTGCATCTCTCTCTCGCTCAACAGACATACTGCAGCGCAGTGCAGTGTGCACACAGTTCTGACGGTAATGAATATTACATTTTGTGAGGAAACTTTTCCACCAATAATTCCAATAAGTATTCCAAAATGTATTCACTTCAGGTTTACGAAAGTAACTGTAATCAGATTACTCGTTTTTCAAATGTAACGCCAGCTGAATACAGTTAGCCTACTTAATTTTTGTATTCTGATTACCGTTACAACCTTACAACCCAACCCTGCTTCTAGGCTACTGTCCCGCAGCTCCTGCCTCTCTGTTGGACTCTGTCGCAGCGGGGCTGCTGCTGTGGTGCGGAGCGCACAAAGCAGACTCTTCACAACGAAGGATCACTTCTTCTTCTTCAAGGAAGGGAAGGTTTCGCAGTACGCAGTCTACTGTCCCGCAGCTGCTGCCTCTCTGTTGGACTCCGGTACTGCACCTTACTCACGAGACGTTGTAAAAAAAAAATGGGTGGGGGGCGAACGCAGTAACCACTCCGCCAACGCCACAGTCACCCCCGTCGTGCGGGCCGGATGAGAATGTCTGGCGGGCCGGATGTGGCCCGCGGGCCGCCAGTTGGTGGTCACTGGTCTACAGTGTGTGCCTATTGAGCTGTTTAGAGCCATGTGGGACAAAACCCGATCCTGCCCCTCCCTCTCACTGTCTAAGTGAACGGTGACTGTAAAAACTACACTGCGCATGCTCAGAGTATTTTCCTATTTAATGTGTGTGGCAAAAAAGAATGACCATAGGGGCATAGAGCTGCCATCCCCACCATACGTCATCTCACATCATTCAGAGCTGATTGGCTGTAAGTACGTGTGCCGCGAAAAGTGTGGTGTGTGAAGAGGAGGAGAGAGACACGTCCTAAAACCAGGAAGTAAGCTGTGCATGGCTTCCCTCCACAAAAAAGCAATGAGATTTCTCCATAGGATTTTAGAAAATAGCTCCAAATAAGATCTGTGGGAAACGTACCTGTTAGATAAATGCACGTTTTGTTCAGCCGGATAATATCCTACTTTTATCATTTTCGAATCATAAATCTATTGATTAGATTTATGACAGACTTTTGAAACTACAAGAAGATAGGGAGGACTTTTACAAAAAAGTTATAGAGATTTTTGTCCAGAAGGATAGGCAAATTAACTTAATCTTCAAGTCAAGGTAAGACCACCATTTTATTGAAAATGGGATCTTACTAAGAGAGAACAATTCAATTTGTAAATGATAAAATTAAATGTTTTGGGTATCCTTCTGTTGAACTGTCTGTTAAAATTAATTGAAGCATCAGAAAAAAAAGGTTTTGAAAATAATATTATATTTTGATTTAGGTCAAACCTGAAGAGTCAGTGCCCGTGCCTCGCCGGCCATGAACCTCTCTGCAGAAGCTTATATATAGACATCTAAGTTTTTTGTGCCCCACCACTTTTGCACATAAATAAACGCCACTGTATATGTGTGCCTGTGATTATTTTACCGTCCTGTACAGATGAGACTTTGTAATCAGATGTAGCCTATGTATATGTGTGTCTGTGGTTTTATACTGAATGTAAAGTAACTGGAAATACCTGTGTGTGTGTGTGTGTGTGTGTGTGTGTGTGTGTGTGTGTGTGTGTGTGTGTGTGTGTGTGTGTGTGTGTGTGTGTGTGTGTGTGTGTGTGTGTCCAACCTCTCAAACTTTCTTTTTATGTGTGCATTGTTATTTGTGCTTGAGCAACATTTTACTTGAACTTTATTTCAATGAAATTAGTTGTAATTATTGTCCTACATTTTAATTTGTTTTACAGAGATGTTTCACAGCTGCCTGGGCCTAGTGGCCCACAGGCGGCGTTTATCCAGCAGCCAGAACATCCATCTGTGCCTGCCCCCAGGTCAAGATCTACCGTGGCTCAAGGGCCTTCACCAGAGCCATCACCACCAAGGACCAGCAGACCAGCATCACTACAGCTGCCTCCACCTCCATCTGCGGCTGCCACCAGGTCAAGATACACCTCAGCACAAAGGCTCCACCACAGCCATCACCTTCAACCCAGCCAGCAAGGAGGTCTCGTGGAGGTCTCGTATAGCACTTGTACCCCCCCACCTACACAGTAGCCCATGCACCATCACCCCCCATCTTCACAGCAGCCAGACCCACTGTCTTGGAAGACAGACAAAGACCTTGACACTGTCTTGACATTTATAATGAATAGTTGGTTGAAAGTTCTGATGTTCAATATTGTAAATAGTGAGATTTTCCAGTTTCTTATATTTATATAAATAGTTGGTTGAAAAAAACATATTTATAATAAATAGTTGGTTGAAAAAAAAAGTTTGAATGCTCAATTTGTATTTGTACACATCACATGAACCTTAGTATGTAATATGAAGTAATTATTCAGTCCTAATGTATCTCAGTCCCTGCTGTGGTGAAAGTAGAGTGATAAACACCTGTTTTACTCAAAATTCGAATTTAATTTTTTTAATTTTAGACATGAATAACATTTAAATACAGTGTAATTCAAATATTTCCCTGCTTTTGTGATCCTAAGACTTTGGTAACCAAATCTAAAACACCAAAACAATTTGATCACATGAGTAAATTTGTGTTTTCACAAGAGTTATCAAGATTTTCCGAAAATCGGATTTGTCAAATTTTAAGCTTTTGCTACTTATCTCATCAAACAGTGCTCTAAGGTGTGTAATTCGCATATATAGCAATACCAAAGATTGTCCTGAACATTTTGATATGTAACACATGGGGTGCCATGTTAGAAGAAATACATTTTAAAAGGTGATTTAAGAAAACATTTGAAAATCGAGAAAATACCCTTAGACTCCAGAGGGTTAAGGGAGATAGCGGCTGCTCAAGGTTGGTCATCTGCATCAGAGGGCAAAAGGTAAACATGTATACAGAATTATTCCCTGACAGCCCCTACTCATGTTGTCTAGCTGTCTGTACTGAGGACCCTCCATAAAGACAGAACCACCACAGGCCAAAGTAAGGTTGGAGATCGATGCATCAGTAAGCCTGTGGTGTCAGGACAGTCCTTGATGAATGCTGAAGGGAAACAGAGAGAAAGACATTTAACTCAGAAGCAATCCTTTTGCTGTTATGTGTTACGTTGACTTTATTCGAACATTTAACGTAACAAGGTTTGTGCACTGAAACATCGTATTTGGTGTTATCGACTGGGCTGTCATAAACCTAATTTGAAGAAATATGTCTGATTTATTTCAAGATTATAACATTTGTAATTTCAGACCACTCAAGGAATTTTGAAAACAGTTTTTTTTTTATGGCTTTTGGCTGAAATGAAGATTTCCTAATTATCTTCATAGTAAACTTTAAAGCAGGGGTGTCCACATGTTTCCTCACTGAGGTCCTCATACAGAAACAAATACGAAGGGCTGGGTATATTGCCTCATACTTTAAGTTATAAGTTAGCTAAATCAATTAAATGTAGGTAAATTATGCTTGATACATGAATATATTTTAATAAAATCTAAAATCTGGTTTCACTTATTTATTATTTTAACTACAATATAAGACAAGCACAAGTTTAAGGTGAGGTCCATATATTCCATTATACTTTTAGAATTTGTTGTGGGCCAACAAAAAATGGACAACGGGCTGCAATTTGCCCCCAGGCCGTAGTTTGGACACCCATGCTCTAAAGCCTGCATTGTGTGAGAGTTTTACGGTAGTTTCAGACACGCCCACCGGCAAGCTTCAACGCACGCCGCCGTGTGGACGCTGTGTTACGGCCCGTCCACACAGCGGCGTGCGTTTTCGCTTGCCGGCGGGCATGTCTGAAGCTAGACCAACAACCAATCACCTGAATCTCCCGCCCCGGACACACAAGCAGCGGTTTGATTGGCTAGAGCTTGCACTGGCATATGATTCGCTTGGCTGACGCTTCCGCCGAAGCTTCAAAAGTTGAACATTGCACAACTTTTGCAGCGAGCAAAGCTATGCTTCGCTCCCACAATGCAGTTCGGCGAAGCGTGACGTCACCCCATTCAAAGTGAATGGGCTGAAGCGTTGAAGCTTTAACGCACGCCGCTGTGTGGACGGGCCGTTACAGCTGTCAAAAGACGAGAGCAGTGCTACGTCCCTGCATGGCAAAATAAAGGCCCCACCCAATTTCCAGGGATAACAAATAATACCTCCATCGTAAATAAAGTTTCATCATGTCTGAAAGCTGCCGTGCAGAGTATTGCATGTTAAACAACAAACATTATCTTTAACTTAGAAAAAAGGACAGTAAAAGGAGAGATTTGTGTTTTCAGGCCATACAAAGAGAGGACTTACACTGTAAACCAGGGGTGGGGAACCTTTTTCCTCTCAAGGGCCATTTCAATGTTTTCAACATCCTCCGAGGGCTGTACAAATTATTGACCTCTGCTTAAAAATACTAAAATCACAGCCCATTCATTTAGCCTTTCTTTCATGCTGTGCAAAGAAAACGCAACCTCTTAATCCAGATATCTCACCATGACTCGCGCATGCATGTGCACGGTGTGGCATGACCACCAAAACAGAAAGATATGGACACAAGATGTGTGCAAATTAGTTTCCTATCCATGTGAACTTGATTTAAGTGTGGGGGGGGGGGACCTAACCTCCTCTGGGGGGGTCCGGGGGCATGCTCCCCCGGGAAGATTTGTTTTTAAATATTGAAGTTAAAAGCATCAATCTGGTGCACATTGAGAGCAACATTAGATCTATGGATACATCTCTCAACACCCATATGAAACACGACGCTGAAGTTGGCTTCCGATTCAGAGCATCCGATTCGGCAGTTAAGGGGAAAGTTAAGGGACATTTAATTTACAGCGCTGAGCGAACAATCCTCCGTCTTTGAACCTCTTAAATCGCTGCATAGCCGATTTATTTGGACTGGATTATCCCAGAGAGTCTAAAGATTCTTTATAACCCAGTTTGAGATTTGTGAAACCTTTATTCTATTTGTGAAAATACAAACAAGGGAGATTTCAGTGCTTTTTTCGCATCCTGACCACATTAGACCAGGTCCTGATCTGAAACCACTAGACCTAGACTCATCAAATCTGGACTGGATTATCCCAGAGGGTCTAAAGCAGGGGTTCTCAAAGTGCGGCCCGCGGGCCAATGGCGGCCCTCGGAAATGTTTCTGGCGGCCCGCGATAGTTAATGTGACACGCTGAAATGCATGCGTTATATTTGAATCCTCCATGGTTGTATCTAGTAAGAATTAGAATGAGTAGCTTTCCAGCGGTATCTCCTGTGAGACTGTAACCAGGGCACAGCAGCCAATATGGCCGCTCAAAGCAGCTTGACTTTACACTGTGTGGGATTGGTGGATTTGTGTGTCCGTCAAGGAAATCTCGGCCGGCAGCCATCATGGTCTGAAATGACCAATGGACATCGAGAAATCACTAAGGACCTACCCACCAAGTAAACAAAACATAAACCACGTGTCTCCCATCAGTTTACATCTGTGAGGAGAGAGAGAGACAGATAAAATGGCTAAAAAAAACTTTACAATTGCCGACTTCGCCAGAGATTTTTTTCGCTAGCAGCAGTGAAGATAGAGCCTCAGAACCTGAATTATTCGACTCTTCTGAAGAAGAAGAAGAAGAAGAAGAAGAAGAAGAAGAAGAAGAAGAAGAAGAAGAAGAAGAAGAAGAAGAAGAAGAAGAAGAAGAAGAATACAAAGACAACAACAAGGATCCATTTGGACATGGGTAAGTGTAAATATTACAGTAATAGTGTACTGGCAATGTGTGGGGAATACCGCGAAAATGAACAATAGGTTTATTGATATATATTTTTATCGATAGTCATGAACTTTTTATTGGAACAAAATAGACTCTCCATTACAGTGGCGAGCCGTGACTTTTCTACCTAGGCCCTCTGACCCCACCCCCCTCTTCCCTCGAAAAAAAAAAAAGAAAACGTTTTTACGTCACAGCCTATAGTATACTTCAGCGGAATATCAAAACAGCGGCCCGGGGTGCAAAACGCATCAATGACAGCGACCCTCTACCACACAAAACAACACCATTTATATAAACACCTATCATGACAGGACACCCACAGCCAAGTAACAATTACAAATGAATTAAGTCGGCACGGCGGCCCACATTGAAAATCACTTTGACTTACCTTTGATGATCAAATCACCTAAACACAATGTCCATCCTCCTGTCTTTTTGGATGAAGAACTTGATGGCGTCGTCATGCAGCTGATCCTTTGCTTTTAAAGCAATTCCTTCTCGATCGAAATTAAGACCAAGTCTGACAGTCGGACTTGCCCAGTCGTGGACCTCGAGTAGCTTTTTATGCGCTTCAGCGCAGAGAAGGACCTCTCCACAGAGGCAGTGGACACAGGTATTGTCAGGATGATGCATGAGAGGGTGTACACCTGTTTCATGCTTTCACTCAGTCCTTTTTTGAGGAGAAACTGATGAATGTCGGCTGGGCTTTTCCCCAAAATGTCAGACATGCCGTCAATCACGGCGAGTTCCGTGTGCAGTCGAGGCTGGTCGAAATATCCGCCATAGCTCTCCATCAAACTGTTCAAGGCAGCAGTTGGGAAATAGTTACAGTAATGCCCGAACTGTTGCGGGTCCAGAAGGGCCAGGAATTCCAGCTTTTTGTGGTCACTGAAGCGGTTGGAAATCTGGGTTAGCAGGCTGTCAATTACGCTGCAGTGGAGCTCCCTGTACCGTGCACGAACGTCTCCTTGAGCTCCACGGCCGCGCGGAGGACCAACCAAAGCCTGGGTTCATCGTAGACGCTGTCAAAGTTCCCCTTCTCCTGTTCAATTTGTCGCTGTAGCTGATCCACTCTGGCCAGGCAGAACTGCATATCAAAACCTTTGTTCTGAAGTATTTCAAAAACAACATCCGAGTAGGAGAAGATAGCGTGGAAGGTTTTCAACCAAAAGCTGAAATCGAAGCTGGTAAGGAGGGTGATGTATCCATCAGAGCAATGAACAGTTTCGTCATCAAACTCTGTGTGATGGTCTACGATGTGCTCGAACACCTACGAGAGTAATGCTTAGTTTAGAAAAAACAACTTATAGACCTCCAGTAAACACTAAGATTAGCTTTTCATTTAATGTAATACTAGCATAGTTCTTTACCTTCATGTTTTTATGAGTGGGTAGTTTCCAACACTAAATCATTTCTTTATTATTGTTAATATTTCCATTACGTTCATTGTTATTATTATCTTACCTCTCTCAATTCCCTGGTCTTCTCTGCCACTGTGCACACCAAGCGAGAATGAAAGCACCAGCGAGTAGGAGCTGCCCGTGGAAGCCTATGCTGGCAAATATCATCCAGTAGCTTGGTGCGCTTTGCTGAGCGGCTGAAAAAGGTGGCCAAGCCAGAGAGGTGGGAGAAGAAGACCTTACACTCTCTTATCTTGGAAGCTCCCTTTGACAAGACGAGATTTAAGATGTGAGCATAGCAGTGAATGAAAAGGGCCTGTGGAATTGTTTCCTTAACTTTCGCTTGCACCCCATTCAATCCAGAGGCCATAACAGCTGCTCCATCGTAGCACTGCGCGACCACTTTGTCAATACAGCCACTCTCCCTCAGGAACTCCAGCAGCCGTGTAGCTATGGCCTCTGCTCGTTTGTCCTCTGTCACATCTTCGTACTTGAAGAAACGCTCTTTTATCCCATCGTCAGTGACATATCGAAGCACATATGACATCTGCGCCACGTTGCTAATGTCTGTCGTTTCATCCAACATGACCGCAACAAAAGGTGCCTTCCTCAGCTCCTCTTTCATGCTATCCGTCATTACACTAGCGACAGCGCTGATCAGGTCATTCTGAATCCTTGAAGATGTGCCGGTAAATACTGTTGATGTGGCGAGGTGTGTGTGCAGGTCGCTGTCATATTCTGCCACTAAATCCAGCAACTCTATGTAATTCCCCTTGTTTGATGAAGTTACACTCTCATCGTGACCTCGGAACGGCAACTCCTGCTTGCCCAAGTACACCACACAATTTATCAGGCGTTTCAAAATTCCTCGGTTCCTCTTCACCTTTTCATTATGAAGGATGACACCCCGGCGTTGTTGCTCATCCAGCTGGAGCTCTATCCTGGTGTCCCCAAATGTTTTAAGCCGAATAGTAGCTCTGAGGTGACCTGAAGCATTCTGATGGCGATGTGCTGATTTGGATAAACTTCCTAAATCAGAATATCCATCTCTGGCCCATGACCCACTGTCCGCTCCAAAAAGCAAGCAATCCCAGCAGTACAGCTTTTGTTCCCTGGTTGATCCGGTCATCCAGTTGTATCTGGCGTAATTCCCGATATTAAAATGCCTCTCGAACCGTTTGGTTTTTTGAACCAAATTAAGCTGTGGTGTTGGTCGCCCTTTGGTAATTAACTCCAATTTATCCGTGTAACTCATTCTTGAAAAAGACTCGGTTAGTAGTTTCGCAACGATGTCATCACTATCACTAACGTGAGCCATCGTGAATGAACGTATGCTAATTCCGCCTAGCTTGACCCGTTGATATATCACATGCATAAACTTGGCAGCGCAGCGGGCGGAACTTGTCATAAAGTCCGCGATAATAAAGCCCTCCCATTTAGAGGGAAGATATGATTGGTCAATTGTACTGTCACTTGACATTACTCTCTCGTTGTTTTACTATAGCGGGCCCTCTGTGAATCGCATAGAGGGCCAGACGAGCTTTTTTCATGTAACCCTTCACATTCAAACAGAAACTGAACAGGCAGATTCGAAGGATTTATTTCTTTGGAAATTTATTTTAAATACAATTAAATCAAGTTTTTTTCGGTAAAAATATAACACAAATAATATTTAAAAAATATATATTTAAAAAAAATAATATTTTTTAAAAATGTTTTTAAATATTATTTTTTAGAATATCTTAGGCCCTCACAGAGGGCCTAGAGGGCCCTGACGGCTCGCCACTGCTCCATTAGCAAACGTTTACTCTGTGTTAACGTTATTTTGGTGTGTAAAAGTGAGATTACATGTGTAGAGGATTAAATTAATCATTTATTCGTCCCACAACGGAGACATTTACAGTGACATGTTTTTGCCATCGATTATTTTATCATACTGTTCTGTACAGATGAGACTTTGTCATAGATTTATTTATATGTGTGCCTGTTATTATGTTACCGTCCTGTAAAGATGAGACTTTGTAATCAGATGTGTGTGTGTGTGTGTGTGTGTGTGTGTGTGTGTGTGTGTTGTGTGTGTGTGTGTGTGGTGTGTGTGTGTGTGTGTGTGTGTGTGTGTGTGTGTGTGTGTGTGGTGTGTGTGTGTGTGTGTGTGTGTGTGTGTGTGTGTGTGTGTGTGTGTGTGTGTGTGTGTGTGTGTGTGTGTGTGTGTGTGTGTGTGTGTGGTGTGTTGTGTGTGTGTGTGTGTGTGTGTGTGTGTGTGTGTGTGTGTGTCAGAGATGTTCACAAGTCTTTTTTTTGCAGTCCAAGTCAAGTCTCAAGTCTTTGGTCACGAGTCCAAGTCAAGTCTCAAGTCTTTGTGGGGTGAGACTTGATCAAGTCTCAAGTCTTTGGTCACGAGTCCAAGTCAAGTCTCAAGTCTCTAAAAAATAAAGTCTCATGTCTCTTCTGGTTGTAATAAGCCTTCTATTGTCTGCTGCTATCCAGTCTGTTAAGAATACTGCACAGCTATATCTAAGAAATTCAAAGCATTTACTGTATTATTATCACTCCTATATCTATTAGCATACAGTATCAGTACTGATTAGTTGTTTGTTATATGATCACTTTAAACAGGCTATTGCAATGCAATATGAGGAAAAACATCACAGTTTAGCTAAATGCAAACAACTTATAAGCAAAACACTTCAGAATCAGAAATCAGTATCACAAATACTTTATTAATCCCCCGCAGGGAAACTGTGTTAAAAGTACTTAAAAGTAAACATTTGTTCTTTGCCATTTGCAACTAAAAAACTATTGCTGCAATATTATCTGAAATATACTGAACTGGTGATATTAAAACATGACTTGTTCCAAAAGAGATATCTACCATTAACACCATTTACCTGCCAAATGCTGGTAAATCATGCAAGTGGCTGGTACTGTATGTTGCACGCACCAGCCACAAATAACAATGGCAATCTATTGAGTGGCTGGTAACATTTCAACATTCACTAGGCTAGCCATTTGGCCAGTGGACAAAAATGTTAAAATTTGACCTCTGCAACCGTATTGTTTAATTACACTGGGTCTCTAATTACATCTTTTAAGTCTACTATAAATAAACATATTCCTCTATCCTCTCACTCAAACCCAGTGTAATGGTAACCTGATAAACCTGTAACATTAACGTTACGTGGTCAACAATAAACCTGTAACCTGCCTATAAACCGACAGATGTATTTATGCATGTAACTATGTATTTTTCTACGTTTAACGTTAGCCAGTAGATGGTGGCAGCGGAACGTAATGATTAACGTTACCGACCTTTTTAATGTCATGTCAAGAGTTGGATGTCAACGCCACTCAACGCAAACAAGTGTGACAAGCAAACATTCACTCATCTTTTCAAATATTCAGTTACAAAGCTAGTAGCAAGCTAAGTTAACATTACATAGCTGATGCTGAGCTAAACATGTTTGCTAACCGTCCATATGCGTTAATGTGACTGACCTCTCCGGGTGAGTTTTCAAGTGCCTGATGAAATTTGACGTTGTTGCACCAGCATCCTTGATTTTAATATTGCAGACTTTGCAGTGTGCGCTCCTTTTGTTGGTGCCGCCGGCGTTTTGTTCGAAGTTTTTATAGTTGAACCTAATTACAAGCGGTACAGCTGCAGGTGTGCCGCCGGTCGCCATGGTGTTACCATGATGTTAATGTTAATGTTAAAGGTGGGGTAGGTAAGTTTGAGAAACCGGCTCGAGATACACTTTTTGTTATATTCCATGGAATGCTCTTAACATCCCGATAGCCGGCCCGGCTAAAATAACTGGATGGCCTACCTGCCTGTCAGCCTTCCATCGGGGCACAAACTTATCTCGTGCCCTCATTGGTCATGTGCTCGTTCGTGTGTGTTGGAGTAGGGGCTCTGTGAGGAAGTGGCAGATTTTCTCCGGTTGTGTATTTTCAAATTCTAGCGATCTCGAGCCGGTTTCTCAAAATTACCTACCCCACCTTTTAATACGCCAAAAATAGAAAACACAATGATTGTTCACGAGTCCCAACACACGAGTCCAAGTCGAGTCCGAAGTCTTTTGAGCAGGAGTCCAAGTCAAGTCTGAAGTCTCTGTGTGTGCGACTTAAGTGCGACTCGAGTCCGAGTCACAAACTCGAGTCCCCATCTCTGGTGTGTGTGTGTGTGTGTGTGTGTGTGTGTGTGTGTGTGTGTGTGTGTGTGTGTGTGTGTGTGTGTGTGAGATCGAGAGAGACTCCTTCTGCAACCTCCCAAACTTTATTTGTATGTGTGCATTGTTATTTGTGCTTGAGCAACATTTTACTTGAACTTTATTTCAATGAAATTAGTTGTAATTATTGTCCTACACAGGCGGCGTTTAACCAGCAGCCACAACATCCATCTGTGCCGGCCCCCAGGTCAAGATCTACTGTGGCTCAAGGGCCTTCACCAGAGCCATCACCACCAAGGACCAGCAGACCAGCATCACTACAGCTGCCTCCACCTCCATCTGCGGCTGCCACCAGGTCAAGATACACCTCAGCACAAAGGCTCCACCACAGCCATCACCTTCAACCCAGCCAGCAAGGAGGTCTCGTATAGCACTTGTACACCCCACCTACACAGCAGCCCATGCACCATCACCCCCATCTTCACAGCAGCCAGACCCACTGTCTTGGAAGACAGACAAAGACCTTGACACTGTCTTGACATTTATAATGAATAGTTGGTTGAAAGTTCTGATGTTCAATATTGTAAATAGTGAGATTTTCCAGTTTCTTATATTTATATAAATAGTTGGTTGAAAAAAACATATTTATAGTAAATTGTTGGTTGAAAAAAAAAGGTTGAATGCTCAATTTGTATTTGTACACATCACATGAACCTTGGTATGTAATATGAAGTCATTATTCAGTCCTGATGTATCTCAGTCCCTGCTGTGGTGAAAGTAGAGTGAAAAACAACTATTTTACTCAAAATTTGAATTTAATATTTTTCATTTTAGACATGAATAACACATTTATATACAGTGTAATTCAAATATTTCACTGCTTTAGTGATCCTAGGACTTTGGTAACCAAATCTAAAACACCAAAACAATTCGATCACATGAATACATTTGTGTTTTCACAAGAGTTTTGAAGATTTTCCAAAAATCGGATTTCACATTTTAAGCTTTTGAGCTATCAAACAGTGCTCTAAGGTGAGCAATATGCATATATAGCAAGACCAGAGATTGTCTTGAACATTTTGATATTTAACACATGGGGTGCCATGTTAGAAGAAATACATTTAATTGGTTAGTACAATAAAGAAACGATTTGTTTTCGAATTATTTTGTGTTCCGTTTTTTCTTGGGCGGCCCTCAATCCAATATTGGGTACCTAAATTGGCCCTCACTCATCAAAACTTTGAGAACCCCTGGTCTAAAGATTCTTTATAATCCAGTTTCAGATTTGTGAAACCTTTATTCTATTTGTGAAAATACAAAAAGTGAGATTTCAGTGCTTTTTTCACATGTAGACCACATTAGACCAGGTCCTGATCTAAAACCACTAGACCTAGACTCATCAAATCTGGACTGGATTATCCCACGGAGGCTAAAGATTCTTTATAACACAGTTTGAGATTTGTGAAAACTTAATTATATTTGTGAAAATACAAAAAGTGAGATTTCAGTGCTTTTTTCACATGTAGACCACATTAGACCAGGTCCTGATCTAAAACCACTAGACCTAGGGTTAGACCACTAGACCTAACCCTAGACTAGACTAGGAGGAGCATACACTTATTTTTATTTATTTATTCATTTGTTTAACAGGGACAGTGCACATTAATTAACATTCCTGTAAATGTGCCAGAGTTAGCCAAGAGGCTATTTTTCATCTGTTGTCCCTGGACAGATTTTATAAGTGAACCTAAAACAAATGTCATTTAAACAAGTAAATACAATCAAATTAAAACATGCAACATACATTACTGGAATACTTAAATAAATAAAAAGACAGAACAATAAAACAAAACAAAAGAACATGTTGTGACGACCCCTCCCCCCTTCTGCCTGTCTGTGCTCCCTGCCTTGCTGTCCTCTGGCAGGTACTGGGAGTGTCGTCCTGTTTGTGCCCGCCCATCTAGAGGCGGAG